ACAGCTGAACTCAATGGCATAATTATTCTGATATTTGTGGCTTTCCTCTATCAAACCCTCAAGACCATTTGAATGTTGTTAGGAACGTCTGTTTCTGTAAATATATTGTAGCTGAGCCATCCTTAGAAATAAAAATTAAAGAACAAATTTTAAATCGTTGGCTGCTGTCCTAATGTCCTGGCTACTGTTACTTTGGTCAGCGGGTGGTCTGGTCAGCCTTTCCAAAGCCAATTTTCATTTTAAGATATTTTTATTTCTTTGAAATAGGCAAAGCCTTTGGAAAATGAGGGAGCAGCCTGCTTGCGCTTGTGTAGATGAAGGCTTATATGTGCAACAAAGTAGCTGTAGAGTTTTTATATTCTGTTTGCAGTAATAGTAAACAGAGCATCTAAAATAACCACTTGCACATTGCAACAAACACATCATCATTTGCTTAAAAAGAGTTATAATTACAGTTGACGAAGCATGGACACCATAAAAAATGCATTAGTTTGGCTTGACACATTAATTACCTGTTTTTGCAGATGTTTTTATATATTGTTGTGTGAACAGTTTACAAAATAATTACAGGAAAGTAATATGGAAAATAAACTAAGTGGGTGGTTTCTTGCCTTAATATTTTCATTCATGTGAATCTGTGTGAGGCACAGCTGCTCCGTAGCAAATGCAGAGGGAGAGAGAGGGAGAGAGACGGGGAATCTTGAGGGGTTTTTATTCTAAGGTCTCTATGATCAGCCTTGCTACACTTTTATATCTTGCTTTAGCAGTGTAGTTTTTAAACATGTAAAATGACATTGTTGATTTAATCCCAGTGATCAGGAGGGGGGAGCAGCTTTGATCCTGATCAGATGAAACGTAAATCTTCTAGTATCTAGGAAAATAAATGAAAAATCAATATTATTTTAAGCAGGATGATCTTTTATGAGCAGTTGTAAAGATTCATCAAAGGCTTTGACACAGTTTAAACATTTCCTGTTTGCTGCCGTTTAAAGAAAAATGCCTTTCAAGTTACAAATTGTAATTAGAGAGAGATACCTCTTTAGATTATTGTGGGCTAACCACAGAATGGAAGTAGGAGCTCAGTATGTTCACACAGTGTTTAAATCAAAAGGTCTTAACTAGGAATATATTAGTGGATTCTTTTAAGAGTACAAATTTTGCGTAACTAAAACCACTATCCTATAACAAGATGCAATATTGCCTTTAAAAAAAAAATGCATAAAGTCTGCATCACATCTTTAGCATCTGTCAAATATAAGGACTTGTTCTAGTACTGTGTTTTAGTGATTTATTAGGTTTTAAGTGAAGAGTTCTATGACCTGAAATTTGGCACAAATGCTGAAGATTATTTTTAGTTTAATGGGGTCTTTATTATTACTCATCACCCTGTGTTTAAGGCTTTTTAAGTAATATTTTTTTTTAGAATTCATATCCTGTGTTTCTTTACACATTTGTGTGAGATATTTGCTGTTTAAATGGGAATTTGTATGGAAATGTAGCTTTTTACATTTTCTTGGTTAAACTGATACAAAGAATAAAAATCCAAAATCCTTCTTCCATAAATCCAATTCTCAAACATCCACCTGTTAGAGTATTTAGAGACTGAACTGTTAATGATATTACTCACAAATAAGATGCACGAACTTGTTGAGTAAATGTTGTTTTGTGAATCCACACCCTCTTTTATGGCTGAAGATTTTAATGAGTGAACAGTTTGCAAATGTTATTTAACAAATTACTCAGGAAGAAAAAGTAGAAGGAAAACTGAAATTAATGTCTTGTGAAAGTAGGGAGAACAAAGACACATCTAAGGGGACATCCTAGCTTGTTTGTGTTAATTACTGTAAAATTACTGAAGCATTGAAAAAAGGCAATAAACATCCCAACTAAGTACACATAACTAACAATTAAGCAGTAAGCTTGACTTTTATGATAGCCTTAGACACTAACCTAGCAGTTTTCTACCAGCCTGCTTGAAGAAAATGCTGTCTGAAGAGTTCATTGTTGCTGTGCAGATGACTTGTTTTCCCTGAGCAACTACCACTTCGTGTGTCTAAGAGAGTGTGGGTGATCACCAGTGGCTTGGCACAAGAAAGTTTTATGGTGCTGTAAGATTAAATGTAGAGATGAAAGCAAGACCGTTAGTCATGTTTTAAGAAATTGCAACACACATTTATAAAATACTGTGTATCTATTCTGTTCTGATAAAGCCAAATACAAGTTCAAACATTTGAGTATTACTATTTTTTTTTTTTATCCTAGATGGGAATAAGACTGGCAGTCTCATCTGGGGGAATCTCCCCAGATGAGTCTTACCAAGCGGAGGCTGATATTAGAGGAGCTGGACCTGGTACAAAGTCCCCTCTGCCTTTAGAATGAGAGAAATTACTGAGAAATTGTTACATACCCCTAACATTGTACGCTGAAAGTGCAATGAATTTCTGACTGTCCTGCTTCTTCCCAAACCAAATGTAGTCCAAGGTGTTTGCAGAGCAGGGCTGTGTGTCTCTGTCCAAGGAGGTGACAATCACTTTTCCCTCCTGCTGTGAGGTGGGTAGTAAGATTTACAATAGATCACTTACAGCAGAGATTGGAGTAGATCGTAAGTCTCTTCTACTTACTCTTGGTGGAGTCTGTGTGATGGTTCTGTGTTTAGGTAGTTTGTAGTCATGATATGAAAAGGAGGGGGAATCTATATTTTAACAGGGTCAAAATGACTAGTAGTAGACCATGGCAACATAAAGTGGAAAAGAGCTTCTGCCTTCTTCACTATCTAAGGATTGTTAAGAGCAAGAGCAGTGATTCATTCCCTCTTGCATGGGGTGGGGGGAAAACAGTAGCTCTGAGCCTGCAGCAGAGGAACTCTCCATGAACTTTCTGAAGAGACCTCGTACTTAGTTTTTCATCATTATCTGCCATCTTGAAAGTGTTTTGGGAAAATTGAGCAGTCGGACAACCTGCTCCTCCTCCTTTATTAAAGAGTTGGTGTTAAAGCTAGCTAGATCTGGCTAACTGAAGGATCAGAGCAATTCCTCCTGCCCTGAGCTGCTGGAGAGATATGGCTGCAGCTTACCCCTTCTTTGGGTCCTACCAATAGTGAAGCTGAGTGCAAATTTCTGAGAGGGGCTTGCATGTGCACGCACATACTCTGTATGAACATATTTGACCACAAACGGATTGCCACAGGCAGAAGGATATTGCCTTTAGAGACACCTACATAACCACAGACAGCGTGAACAGATCAACTTCTTTTGAACTTATTGCTGGTCAGGGAAAGACCTGCTGGTCAGGTCTCTCTGGTAGCTGCCCTCCAGCTCCATGATCCAGCTCTCAGACATTTTGTCTGACTTGCCTGCTTATCTGGCTTGAAGTTTGTTGGCGTACCTTATGTACAGAGAATAATGAGTGCGCTCATGCAGAAAATAGTGAGGAGTAGAGTTTAATAAGAAGGTAAGACAGACAGTGGTGGTCAGGTACCAGGGGTCAGTCAGACAAGCGTATTGACCAGCAGCCTGCTTACACACAATTGGCCCATGTAATTCCCACCTCTGTTTTCTCATGATTGTGCCCCCACCCCATTCCTCAGCTTTAATGCTGCCCCATAACAACTCATGTCTTACACATTGCCACAATCCCCCCTGAAAACCTCCCACAGTAAATTTTGCATGTGAACATTTACAGAGGAAGTTCTCCTTCAGACATCCCATAATAAGTTTTTTCTTTTTTATGAGACTCATTCTTGATAACCCACAATAATTCCCCTTTTTTTCTTATCAGTTACCAAGTTTCTGGTTGAACTTCTTCAAGGTTACGCTCAGAGGTTCCTTTCATGGACCATTGATCAATGTCTTATGAGTTCTAGTCTTCGTTATTGTCTCTGTTATCTGCTGTTTGTTAGGGTTTGTGTATTTGCGTGTTTAATTTATTACCTCTCCTGTTCCTTGCCTTGTCTTTCATGTTAAGTAGCTGTTAGGCAGATATCCTTGCTGTTCCTTGCCCTGTTTGAGCATCGGTTTGCAAGAGGTGCTGGCTTGCACCTGTCGGTGCAGAACCCTGTCACAGCCAAGGCTGTGTTTCTGCAAGTCTTGGATGGCCTCATTTATGGCTGGAAGAGACTGTCAGGGCTGTATGAAGTCTCTGCTATTGCTTTGACTTCTTGTGGGATAGTTGTCTGTAACTATTTTTCAGCATAGTAGTCTCAATTCTCTGTTAAAACAATTGTGGCTCACAATCTTTTTATCTTTGCTTGGTGGTTGAATGGTTGGGTGTTATCACAAATTTAGTCTGTTATAACCATATACTGCTTGTGATGTGAATGCTTAAGCATAAGCTATAAGTTTTAGAGTGAATACAGAATTTGTGCAGTATCACAGTATTCTCACCTCTTGCAAGAGTTCGGATAGATTAGATATAACACAAAGGTTTAGCCATCTGGGAAGTGAAGTAGTTGGTGCAAGTACTTCTTCATTTCTTCCTGTGTCACCCCAAGCCAACTGACAAGGAGCAGGTAGTGCCAGAAAGCTATGAGCAAGAGTTCTTGGTGTGTCTCATGTTGCCTTCTGGCTATTGATAGCATTTTTGACTTTCTTTTATCCTTAGGAGAGCCTATATTAGAAACATGGGGAAAAATGCAAGTTTTGCTATTGTTTTGTTGTAAATGCCTTATCCTGTCTTCCCTAATTGAGTTTTTTTTGGGGTACAATGTTTGCATCAGTGGTTTGTTTCAGTTCTTTCTTAACGTTACCATAGGAACATATACCAGATCACAGAAAAATGAGGTAAGAATTTTTATTTACCTTAGTCTATAGCAAGGCTTAAATTGTTATTTTTGTAGAACTCTGAGATCATAGTGCTTGCTTTTTATAAGGTGCATTTCTGTAGGTTTGATTATGAATAACCCAAAGGAAATCAAAAAGGTAGAATCAAAGCAGTCATGTGCTTTGATTACTTAGTACCTCTCAATCTATAGAAAAAAAACAACTTTCTTTTTCTCTGTTGAGGTGAATCAAGTCCAACTCGTCGAGAAGCAGTGAAAAGGAAGACTGCAGAATACCTTATGCGTGCAGAAAAAATTTCTAGTTTCTGCCATAAACCCTCTGAAGATGCATCTGTTTCTATGGTAAGCTTTAATTTCTTTGCTTCTGAACCAGAATTTGGTATAATTATATTGTCTTGTCTTGTAGCAAAGCATATTCGAGCTTGAGGTTCAAAAACTGTCTAGAATTTCTGTCTTTCTGGAGGCCTGAGGAATATCTTGATGTTATGTTTCTGTTAAGTTGCTGTTCTTTTCTGATTCTTGTTGGTTGCATTTCATAGCATTACAGTAGTTAATTGAGCAAACATTCTTCCTGATCCCTTCGGACATCTCTCTTGGATGTGCTTGAGTGATTAGCTGCTGCTTGATTTTTTGAGGAGTTTCTGTAGTAATTCCCACCGTCTTAAGCAGAAACATCCTTATGTGTACTTGACAAACAAAGCTTATTCCAAGGCACCCTCAATAAATTTCGACTTTGCTCTTCCCCAGCCAATTCCTTTGGGACTTATCTGTTCTTACTTTAGACTTTTACTGCAGTCGTGCTAAACTGTGTGTGATTGTCGATGACTGTCCTATTGTAGTAAATATAAAAGTTACCAACTTTCTATCTCTCTACATTTGTATCAAGTGAGGACAAAAGGGGCAGAAGATTATTGCCACTTATTTTGCAGAGATCTAAAAATGCTTTAAGGAGACCACTGCTGCAAAAATAGGAAGCCTTATAAAGTCCGACTGCCTAATAAGTAAATGAAAAAAGCAAAAGCACTGATTTTGAAGGGTAGGATTTTTTATGTTGAGAGCCCACAAGTACAATTTTGAGGATGTTCCAAACAGGATATATTTTGTGAGATATGGAGTCTTGCTGCTGCTATGAATTGTACTTTGAACAATTTAGTATTTTGGACTGATACGAACTCCTACTAGGTAGTCTTTCTTTGGGTCAAACACCCCTGAAAATGGGGAAGAATCTATGTTGAATGAAAACCTCAGTGTGTTTGGAAACTGCAGAACAAGAAAAAACCATTAACAGCCTATTTTTGCCTTTTTATAAGTTTAAAAACTAATTGTGGTTGGGAAGGAGGAAGAAATAGGTTGCATTTTTGTAAGTGAACTTGAGAGGTAAAGTATTTCCTCTTTTATGCTGTACTGAATAAGGCACATGCCTTCTTTGCAGATCCAAAGCAAAGCAGGATTAATCGGGATAAGACAAGGAAAAAAAAAAACAGTAGTGAGAATAGAATACTATTCTCCTTTCTGTGTTGAAACTCAAAATTGACAAGTTAGGGCAAATCTGACTTTGTACAAGCATAATGTTACACCTGGCTTATTCTCCTTTTTACAAAGAAAGCCATGTTTCCACAGTTTGGCTTTTTTTTTTTTTAACCTAAGTCTGTACGTGTATTTTAGTATCTTTTATTTGCTGCTCTCCATAATGCATAAACTTGACTTTTATCTTAGAGCTTTGGAATTTGCTGGCATCAAGGGCAAATGGAGCTGATGGGTCATGATGGTTGTGATGAGGAACAGCTTGTCTCCAAGTTGATAGCTGAAAGTTAGTTGGGAGAAGGGCTTATCTCCTAAAGTTATTGTAAGAGTATTGGTAGCAACCACTAAGAATTGGCGTGCTCTGTGCTTTGGCTTAGTGTCCTAAGGAAAGTGAGGAATGTGACTTCCTGCGCGTTGGTTGCTGAGCAGACCTGAATTCTTGCACCTTAGTTACTGCTTATCTTTTTTACTGCCCAAGATAGTTTATATTGGAGTTTGTGTGAATAATTCAACTCCATGCAGACAGTGGTAAGTGCACTGAAATGACCTGCATCTATATACAGCGTGATTCTTGGGAGATACTTGTGGAAACATGCAGATATTTTGTGTCCTTCTCCTAAAGAAATTGTCTGTAGTATACAAGGTTAGTGTGTATGCCTCCTTGCACCATCACTTCACACCAGATTGATGTTTCTCCAACTGCTATTTACATGCCTTTGGTCTGTTACCACTAGCACCTCCTACTGCTGTAGGTCATGCTGACTGATACCATCCCTTGTTCAAATGCTGGTGCTTGGACCAGATATAAATGTGAATGTTTAAATAACACTGTACAATGCCTTCTTTGCTCACATGAATCCATAAAGAGGTCTCTTGTCACTTCTTCTGTGCTGGAGGGACACTGAAGTCTTTGAGAAGAATCACTGCATTAGTACGCTTAGGAAGCCTTTCCCAGAAGCATGGCCAAGTGCTGTTACGCCTGTTAGCCCAGCCCAGTTGGAACCATTTAACTGAAATTGATTTGCAAGAAGATGATGGACAAATACTATACCCTAGCAGTACCTGTGCCTGTATTACAATGGGCAGAGTGCAGTTTGGTTATGGGAAGCATGGTTCAGTGCAGGGACCTGCAGGGAACTTTGTGGACAGGAGGGGTGCTGAGACCATTTGCACTTTGGAGGAAGAGGTCTGACTAGTAATCAAGCATTGGCATTTAAGGCAAAAAGTGTTCTTGTTCATGACCTGATGTTGCAAGGCAGCACTGCTTTGTCACCCATGTCTGGTGTAGATAGCTTTGTGTTTCTTATTGTGCCCTTACAAGGAAAAATCACAGTGATCAGCATCAAAGCTAGGCTCACCTGGCCTTCTTAGACATGACATTTTACTTCTTTCTCATCCACCAAGCCAGAAAAATGTCCAGCAAGGGAAGAGGTAAGCTCAGAAGTGCAGGTTCAATTATTGTCCTGCACCCTTCAGCCTCTCATAGCTCCCAAAAGCTCGGGCTGCCAGCTGTCTTCTGAACCATGTGCAGCAGTCTCAAAAGACTGTGCCTGCTAAATGCACCCCAAGCCACCCATTTGCCATCTGAACACCATGTGATGGTAAAGCATGGTGGTTTTTCTCTGGGGACCTGGGGCAGAAGGAAGCGAGCTATTCTTCTGTGGCCCAAAATGCCAGGCCCTTGCCTCTTCAAAGGCCAGATTTCCCTAGAGGGGAAGGGTTGCATTTCAGAGCTGAGAAGCAAAAATTATCTTTGATGCTATGGAAACCAAACAAAGAACAATAGTAGTTTGTTACTTTTCTTGCCTCAACAAAAAGCCAACAGTGTAGCCCTCAAGGATAGCATCCTTAGCCACCACCCTGCTGCTGGCAAGTCTGAGTGGTGAAGAGAGGAGCACAAGAGGAGGTGTTTGCAGAACTCTTGGCACTGTTAAAAAAAGGTTATGAGCAGAAGGCTTAAGGATGGATAGAAGATTTCTTAAGGCTGAAAGGAGGCACAGGGAAGTGACACAACTGTGACTGACCATGAACGGGGAACTCGCTTGACAGGGTCTTGTAAACATTGAGAAAAGCCTTGCTGTGACCCGTAGGAGTGGGAGATGTGGAGACAACTTCTGGAAGTTGTAAACAGGCACACAGACCTTCTGGAAAAACAAGCTGCAGCAAACGCTGTCCTTCTCCTCCTCCTCTGGCCCAGCACGGCAGCCTCAAGGGCCTTGTTGACGACAAATGCTCAAGGATGCTGTGCGATGGCAGCAGCAGGCCATTTTGCAGATTCTCAAGCTGTATTTTCTCCTCTGCCCCTTTGTAAGTAGCAGCTCTGGGGAGCCACCTCCAAACCTGAGTGAGAGCTGCAGCAACAGCCTTTGAATCACACTGGATTGACTGTCAGAAAGCTGCAGTCTTATATAGCTGTGAGGCCCAGTACAGCTACGTGTATAGGTTGTGGGTCTGTTTTAACATTTTTGGTATTTTCATAATGCATATTTTTTTCACTCTCTGAAATTATTTCTGGTTCTACTTATGCCCAATTTTTTATATTCAGAATTGTCTCTTTTTGCACTGTTATAAAAGCTTTTGTCTTTTAAAATGTCAATTATTTTTGATTTTCAAAGCAATTTAGTAACAAGAGTTACATGCAAGCCTGACACCCAAACAGGAAGAGCAGTCTTCAGTCTTTGCAGTTTTCACAGGATATCTTACTTCCTAAAATTCTCATTAAATGTTCATGAAAATTATATGAAGTGTAAAGAAAATACACTGCTGTAGTTCTGTGAGATGTAAATTTAACATAAAATAAGAAATACAGTCACAAGGCTTCCAAGATTACTTTCTGCATTCCTGTCTGCTGCTGGTTCCAGATGTGCATGACCCCAGATGTGTCCCGGCTTCAGGGATGCAGTCCCAAACTGGTGATCACTGGGGACCTTCTGAAGCACACCGTAGCTCTGTCCATGTTCAGATGCATGCAGAGATGCAACCTTGTTTTCCTATGGTGCAGAGTGAGGAAGGGGCCAGGGTGTTCTGCCAGGCCAGGAGAGCTGGAAGCTCTTTCACACCAATGGTGTGGAGCCTTGCACCTCAGGCCAGCAGTATCTGCTTCAAAACAAGGCATCTCCTTGCTGCAGTTGAGGGTCTGGCCATGCTACAGGGGGATGGTTACTGAAGTCATCAGACGCAGATCTCCGAATGGTGAGGGGAGATCGCATTTTGATGTGCATCTCTGCACTGGTGCTTGTGAAAGTGCTCTTTTTTATCCTGAGGTTCTGTGGTGACTGCTGTCAAAGGTGGCAGCATCAGCAGCAGAATCATTTCCCATCAAGTAGTGTTTGTGTCACTGGGCTAGGGATAGTGCTCTTGCCTTAAATGAGGTTAACAAGAGAGGCTTTTCCTCTTGCTCGGCGCGTGGTCTACTTCTCTTTCTCCCCCTACTTTTATAACTGCTGGCAGTGATGCCAAAGCTGAGGCAAGAGCTATTGCCATATTTCAATGTGTAGCTTGCAAAACTAGAGCCTTCTGAAGGCAAATGGTGGCCACAAGCTGCTGGGTCTTTGCAGAGGCCAGCATCACAATCAGCATCATCCTTTTCCACTTGGAATTAGCATATGCTAGCCAAAAGGTGATGGTGGGAAAGGAACTGGTGACACCAATCCCAAGTCAGGTAGCTCCAGCTGTGCAGCTCAGTGTAGCCTGGAACTTGTTTCAAAACATGTAAGGCCTAGCCACAGGAGAGAAGGTCCTGGGATTACCCGAGCAGCATGCTGAGCTTTTGGACAAGCTGCTGAAGGCCTTCTGCAGACAGAGGTAGCCTGCCACTTTCTTTAGAATATATATGCCTTATTTCTGAAGGCAAATGAAGCCTTTGAGTTTTTGTTAATCTCCTTCCTGTATTTTTTTTGTTTCTCTATTTCGGTGAGAGCACTGTTTTTTAGTTGTTTTTCTTATCACTGGCTAGATGCTGAGCTTGGATTTTTACTCTATTCAGAGGAGCAGGCGGCTTCATAGAGTGCCTAATTGCTGTAGTTCTGGGAATTGGGTATTTAGAGTTTGCTTCCAGCTTGCTTCACAAGAGAACGTGATGCCTCCTCATCACTGGGCTCCATTATTAGACTTTGCAACAGTGAAACCAAAGTACTATAAAGAGCAAAAAATAACCTGAAACTGATAAAAATGGAGAAGCTACTGGGAGCTGTGGAGATGTGGATGTCATTGTTAATCGTTTTAAGGTAAAAAGTGACTGTAGAATGTGTGTATGGAAAACTGTGTGTGTACACAGTGCTACCATTGGTGATATTTTAGAGAAGGACCCAGAAATATGTACTGGGTTTTTTTGGCTTTTCAGACATGATGGGTGCAGAAGTCTGATTCTGTAGCATTATTAGACAACTATTAACTTCTGTAGAGAGGTATGAACTTAATTCATGGTTGAAATGTTATGCATAAGAGAAAATTTTAAAAGCTTAATTATGGAGGAATGGTTATAAAATGTAATAGCATGCAGATAGAAGTGGAAATCTTTTATAGTAGTCTGGAGGATTTGGAAATACTCTCTTTCATTAAATGTATTCCTTAGAATGCTTTTGAAATCTTGTCATGAATAAACTCTGTGTTAGCACAGCTCTTTGTTTCAAAGCAAATATTTTGCTATTGCAGAGAAATTGCGCACTCTTAAAATACAACCCAACAAAAGAACTCCCTTGACCTTCCAACAGCTTGCTAGAATGCGGAACCTAAATTAGGTTTGGAGAGAAAAACTTCATGGAGAGTTTTTTTTTTTTTCTTCTTCATACTTAAAACCTTTAGTGATTTGTAGAATCTGGGCTGTTTTCTCTTAACTGCTGTTGGCATTCTTGCTTGGCAGTGTTTACATGACAAATAATTATAAGACCCAGATAGATAAATGAAGATAAATAATAAATTCTTTTTTTAAAATAGAACTCAGTAGGTGACCACAGAAGAAAAACACACTTTTCTCCATGCTTTTTGAACATGAGTTTTTGAATCTTTCTGTTTAATTTTGCAGGCGATGCTAAAACAGGAGTTGATTTTTTGGGAAAGAATTTTGAAGGAGAGAAGGTGGTTGACTGGCATCATGAAGGGGAACCATTTCTAGGCAGGGCTTGGAGGCTGGGAGATGCTCTGGACTTTGAGGATAGCACAGTAAAGATGTTGGAGGGGAAACACTAGGGAGGAAGCAAATGGAATTACCTAGTTCAGTATCTTCAGTTTTTCTGGGAGTTTCTGATCATAAGGGAAAATTTGTTGATTTTTCATGATACTTAAACATTTCATCCACAGCATAATTGCTTACTAGCAGTTTTCCTTTGTGACATATTTGTTAAAAATTGCCTCAGGATGCTGGCAAATTAGATAAACAGCTTTTGCCTCTTAGAACCTTAAAAATCGAGGAGTTTCACCTTCATCTTCCTTTACCTTTGTGCAATAGATGTGTACTTGGGGGGGCCAGGTTATGCTTAAAAAGAGTTTGGCATTCAACAACTCTGCAAATGAAGTTACTGTATTTTTGAGGAAGAGATCCAGGCCTGTGGTTCTATTAGAAGCTGCATGTTGAATTTTTGGAGGAGGATCTAATGAATTCTCTCAGTTGGCAACTAGAAACTTCTGAAAGTGTTTGTTAATGTGCCAGAGGTGTATGTGATGCTTAAGAGGTTGATCTTTGTCCCAGAAGACTTCCAGTTGAAACGTTGTTCCCTCCTTTGACATGCAAGCTTTGAGTTTGCCCTGAGAAAGTACAAAACATAGCACGGACAAGAAACTATGTGTATTAACTACTTGAATAGTTAGCACCTGCCAATTCTCTTGCTATGGTGTTAATTCCTAGCTTAATGATACGTGGCTAGCTACCTTTTTCTAAGGCAGTTTTAGGAATCGTTTCTGTTGTGCACCTTGTTATTAAAAGGATTTCATAAAGCTCACCAGAGAACCCTCTTTATAATTCTGTATTTTATCTTTTTCAGACTTAAAAAGCCTCTAATTTGCTTTCTCCTCCTCAGTGATGTCTGAATTATTTTGTATCCAGAATACCTGTAAGGCTTTGATTGATTATTGTGATGGGGTAAGAATTGAGTAATCGATTGCCAGGCTCCATTAAGCAGAGAAAGTATAAAAATTCATTATTTTTTCTTTTTAAAATTTTTGTTTTCAATGTTATCTCGATTTTTATTTACTTGCAAGTTGTTCCTCCCCCTCTCACTAAGGACAAACAGAAAACTTCTCCTTTCATCTTCACTCTCTCTGATTTATGATAAATTTAGTTTCCTTCGGCCTGGCATTTGCTTCAGCAGGCAGTCTTCCTTCAAGTACCACCCTGATTGATGTATAATCTTTGATATCTTCCATTAGCCTCCAGGATCACTAAGTTCAAGGCCCTCTTGGAACCTAAGGAGCCCTGCCGAGGAACTGAAGGCCTTCAGAGTCCTTGGGGTGATTGACAAGGTAATTCTTCAGTGTCTCTTCAAGAGTTCAGTCATAAATCGACTGCATGCTGACATTTTGTCTTTGAAGCTGTGGATCTTAAGGATATGAAACAAAAGGAGAAAATGACTCAAATGCATCTGCACTTTAAAATAACAAAAGTAGAAGAAAAAAGGCTTTTATCTAAGCAATTCATGTAAGGTCATGCAAAATATATTTGAGCTAAAGGATAAAGGTACATGTTTGGTGGCATTCAATAGGATGAGGCCTGTTTTTCAAAAATGAAGTTATGGTTACAGTACTAGAGTAAGGACAAGTTGATGTGTTTTCAGTTGAATAATCTGGTGGATACTTGAAATATAGAAGAGTAGAAATTCCTACTTTTGAACTGTCACTTGAAATAGGGGCTGGGGGGACACAACTGTTCTTCTTCCCTGAGAATTTGGAATTTAAATCCCCTGCCAAGGTAGAGATTCAGTAATGAAGCCAAGTTTATTTTTGACTCATGCAAATAATGTCTTCCAAAATCCCAGAGTAATACCCCTCTGTAAACAGTAAAGGACCATACGGATTTTCTGCAAGCCTAATTAAGAGACCGGAAGAATTGTTGTATTGTTTTGATAACGCTGATTAGTTATCACCTTACCAAATACTTTTAAGATGATACATTATTCAGCAATGTGGCAGTGGCTAATGCAGACTGTAAAGGCTCATTTCCTTTTTGCCGTGCCAATTCCCTTGTGCCTTTTGATAGTTCCTTATGTAGTCCCTGGTTTGTGCATGATGTACTGATGCATGGTCAATTTATGCATTTGTAACATGCATCAGAAAACCTGTAGCTGTCTCTTAAGGTCTGTATTTCTCGGTTTCTTTTTCTTGTTGGACTGAACCTAGCTATGGGGACTGATTTTTGTTTTTCTTCACCTGTTTTGTTGTAATTATGTGCATAAGTTGATAACTTCTCCTCAGAGGGCTATATACATTAGGTGTTATGGTTGTTTTTATAGCACACAAGGTTTTCTCAGCTCTGACTCCATATTCATTGTGTCTTTTTTCCTCAGTTGTAAGTACTGAGTTTAGCCTGTGTTCCACTCTGTATACGTATCAGAGAGACAGGTTGGAAAGAGCACCTATCTTGGATTAGTGGGCACTAACTAAATTAGTGGATGCAGTAGGCATGGACTTTGTGAATTAGTCTGACAATGTGAGGCTGCAGAAGTGTTGGAAATGAACCAAGAAAGACCTTTTCGGTATCTTCGTTCTTGTATAAGAATAATGAACAACAACTGGAGAGGATGCTTGATCAGAATGAAGCTTTTGGAGTCCTTGGTGTTACCAGATCTCCCAGATCTCTCTGAGCACAGCTCTAGTAAGTGTCCCAGGTGTGAGCTGAACGTGTCCAGATCTTTGAGGCAGAGTTGGGAAGGATCAGAGTTTTGGTGATGACAAAGATACAAAAACTTAGTGTTGGAGATAAGTGTGAGGAGTAACAGGCCTGTGTGTACAGCTGGTATGCTCATGTGTAAACAATATCATAGGAGTCAGAGTTAATGTTTAATTATTGTATGAAAAAGGGAGCAATATTCTTTCAGGTGTCTTTGTACTCTGTGTACTTGCTTCCAGATTCTCCTTATTACGAACTTAATCCTATTCTGAGTATGCTGTCTTTTTTCATATAATTTTAAGTGTTCATAAAGTTGTGAGGCAAATGAAAAGCTCTTCTAAGCCCAAATGTTCAGAGCATGTTTTATTTGGTTTTATAATGCATACACAAAATGCATGTGACTATGAAGCAAAAGTGTGCATGTGTATCTGTGTGCTGGAGACGATGCCCCTGCCTTTGATTTAAAGCATCATATCACTTCCTTCCTCACCATCACTGTTCTTTGCCTCCTTCTCTGCTTGCATATGCTCTAAAGCTCACATCATGGAGAAATCCAAATAGATGTGTCAGTATCCTCGCTGGAGCCAAGCAGATGACGTAGCATGTTTGTTCTTGAAAATGGATTCTGATTTTCAGGGCTAGCATTGAAGATGCCCTGCTTTTGGGCACAACTCTGTAACCCATTCAGCATCACGCAGAGTTTTGCCTGAAAATACTCTTCTCCTGTTCTAAACCTGAGGCAGCTGCTTCAGTTTCAGCAGAAAATGGCTGTGTGAATAGTAATGAGCCACTGGCATTTTTACTGCAGTCTTGCCTAATCCTGTGCAAGACTGGCTTAAACACACTGACTTAAAAATGGTGGTGGTCGGTTTGCAGACTCGTTCTTCCACTGCTGCTTGAAGCCCAGAGTGGTGTCTGCCTGCTGCAGTGCTGCCTCCAGAAAACCAGCTGTTAACCTGCACTCCATCAAATGCTGAAAGGTTCAGTGCCTTCCCTTAGAGTAATGTCAGTCTTTGTTCTTCTTTTGAAGCCTCTTGAAGTGTTTTGAATTGGCTTCATTTTCACAGGCAAAATGCTTGTTGCTACCTGAAACTCTGGGTTTTTCAAACTATTTTAGGCTAGGCAGAATGATTAGACGTTAAATTTTAGCCTAGTTTATTCTCAATGTGCCATCTTTCCCTCTCTGTCTGCCTTTCCACCTTCCTTGTCACCTGAATAATTTTTGCTGTGTTGACCCTTTTCTGCTGAATCTGAGTTAGAGATCTTAGCATTATTAAACTCCTCAAAATATTGTGAAAATTCACAGAAGAATGACCATATCTGTGCCTTGCCTCCCATCCGTCTGCTTCTCTCATGCAAAGGCTGTCGTATAAATCCAACTATTTTAACAGACCCAAGATGACCTACACTTTGCTTGAGGAAACCAGGTTTCTTGACTTCTGCTGCTGCTGTGTTTGCTCACTTCATGGCATCGAAGGTTAACTAGGTGGTGTTTGCAGGTATTTTATGTGTTTATTATGGGAAGAGTCTACCTGTGAGTAGTTTCTGAAAATAGAGGTTTAATCTAATTATAAAGGTGGCTTTTGTCCTGCAAATGTTGTGGACTCTGAGGTGCTGCTGATGGGGCAACAAAGCTCTTGTTAGTGTTACCAGAGGTACCGCGTTGAAAACAGGCTAATATCTAAATATTTTAGCTACTGTTATCACCAACCAAGAATGATCTATTATTTTATCAGTTCATGTACCTTAAAGTAGAAAACTTCTTTTTGGAATAGTAAAGATTTTTGCTTTCAAAATTTGCCTAATTAAAAATCAACGTTGCAAATTCTGTTCTGAGTTTCTGTCCTAGGCAGATCTTTCCTTTGAAGCTACAACTGGCCCCTAAAGAAATGACTTTGTTATGATGCTGCTGGATACTTTCACAATGCTGTTTCAGACCCAATTTCTTATTCTTTAGAACCCTCTGTTATTTAGATTCATTCAATTTAAAGATTCTTCTTGAAAGCAGAGTGCATTAAGTAATAACTATGCCTCTGTAACCAATGACTATCTTTTATGTCTTTTCTATCCCCTCCCCTGGTCCCCCATCAAGCCACATAGTCTGTATTGGCACGGGTGTGACTGTGATCAGTTCTTCTGCAGATGCCTGTACATTTGAGCTTGTTGTTCAGTATGCTGTTTGTTAAGCTTTATTATACAACCCAAAACCTTGTAAAATAAAATGCTCCTATCAGGGGCATGCTGAAATTATATTGGGAGTTTCTGAAGAGGGTTCTAGAAGTAGATAACTTCTTTTCTGAAGAACTGGAGGCAATTCTGTTAATCTTGAGTATAGGTTATTTTTTGTGGCTGTCGTGCTGTTGTGAGAACTCATGACTCTGATGGTAGTACCTTTTGATGAATTCACCTTAGAAACATACAGAAGAACCAAATCAGTATTGTTAATTATTTAGAAAGTGTGACTGCTGCTTGTCTACTTGATGAGTGAAAGTGCGAAAAAGCAGAAGTATATAGAATATATGTAGAGTTCGCATGCATAATCTGCAGGCCCATAGTTGAATTCATAGAGGTTATGGTTAGTTTTAATGGAATTTAATCAGAGGATAGGAAAAATGGGCTCTTTTTATGGCAGTGTGTGTGCTGTGCATGAATAACAAGACATAGATACCTATGTCCTGTTAGTGTTTGTTAGAAACTTAAATATTTGGCATTTTATTTTGAGGTGAGGTTAAAGACTGTTGCAGTTGTGAAATTGAGTTGACCATAGCAGATTTTTTCTCTCACCTGGCTCTCAGGTGCACACTGCCAAGTGTCTTTAGATCTTCTTATGGGTTTGAATATGTGGCTGTGTGTACATAAGAGGTGTGGGGAAAAGGGAGCTGTAGTAAACAGCACGACTGAGTACAGAAATTCATTCTTGTTTCATTATGATTCTTAGAAAGAGAAACTGGCTGAAAACATGTTATAATGAATTCAACCAACTAGTAAGTTTTCCTCGCCCAAGCATGGCATAATGGACAATAGCAGTGGCAAAAATGGTTAAAAACCTGAAACTGAGTAATAACAGTAACTATTACAAATAAAGAAACTTTTAAGAGCTTGTTTTATGTTTTGATAACCCTTTAGTTTCTTACGTGACTTGCCAGTCCTACAAAATCAAATCAACTAGAGTCGTCAAAACTGATTTTTCTTGGCTCACTACCTTCCTTTCGCTACTGCCGCGGGATTATTCCTAAGCAACAGTCAGGTTTCAAACCACAAATAACAGAGCTTGCTCAACTTTAAAATGCAATCTCTCTCCCAGCTAGAAAGAGTCCTGTCCCTTCTTCTCTGCCCTCAAACACCTGCCACTTGTTTTCCTGAAGTCTTTCCATTTATAGCAGTCTGAACATTTCTGAGTGTTTTGTTGTTATAACCCTTAGTCTCTCTCTAGCTTCTTTCTTGTTTATCTCACTAAAATTTCTTTTGACTTCAGTGAATGTTTTGTTTCATCTGACATAAAACAGTCCTAAGATTGGGTAAAGTAATGCAGGTTTTGCCCTTCCCTTTATAAAATATAAATTAAATTATTGAATATTCCAGTGCAGGCTGAACTATATGTATCTTCTGGCCTCCAGAAAGAAATAATTTTGTTTTA